GTGACTATGAAATTTGAAGACACAGACTACAATAATATAAACTCGATAGGCTGAGGGGACATCGCAAAATTTGCAGCAATATTGGTGCTTTTGACTTTCTTAAAGATCTAAACCCCCTAGGTTAAAGATAAAGACCAGTTATGGTCATGCGATTGCATTGTGAAAGTAAGATTTCGGAATCGATCAGAAAAGGTTGATCATCTAGCATATACATGTAAGTATTGGTGTGTACTGCAAGGTTTTTTGAATCATCAAAATGATAAGAAATTTGGCCCAGTCTTTGTAAAATTACAAGCACTGTACACAGAAAGATGTATATGGGACTACGCACACGTGCGCGACACGTGCGTTTATCTCTCACACACCAATAGATAAACTAATTTACGAAATATATCAATTAGTAGGCGGTTTCCCGGCAAAATATTTATCATCACATATTAGTCAAAGCATATTCTTTCACATGATTGGTAATAAGAGCTTTTTTTTATTTTTTGAGATTGGGGCGTTTCCAATACTGGTCTATACCTTGAACACGCAAAGACAAATTGTTGTAATGATAATTATTCTACCCTTAGAAAGGCTGTGAAAAGGGATAAATATCAAATTAGAAGACAAGGAAAAACTCAAAGAGGAAGAGGAGACTGCCTGTATAAATTTGCAGCAATAGGAGTGCTTTTGACCATCAAAAAAATCTCAACTGGCATAGGTTTACACACAAAGATTATCTTACCACTAGAATCTCTTTGAAAGGCTGTTAAGTGGGATCAGGGGGATACATATCAAATTAGAAGACACAGACAAACATAAGAGATGATCAAAAAGTGGAGTAGACTGCCTTATAAATTTGCAGCAATAGGAGTGCTTTTGACCATCAAAACGATCTCAACTGGCATAGGTTTACACACAAAGACAAGTCTATTATAAACAATGATTATCTTACCACTAGAATCTCTTTGAAAGGCTGTTAAGTGGGATCAGGGGGATACATATCAAATTAGAAGACACAGACAAACATAAGAGATGCTCAAAAAGTGGAGTAGACTGCCTGTATAAATTTGCAGCCATAGGAGTGCTTTTGACCATCAAAACAATCTCAACTGCCATCTAGGTTTACACACAAAGACAAGTCTATTAAAAATGTTTATCCTACCCCTAGAAAGGCCTGTTTTCACTAGCTCAAGATTGCCAAATATCCAGCAATTTCAACAATCCGATCGCAAACTATCCAGTTAGTTTGCGTCTTCATCAGCCCAAAGTTGCAATTAGCGGAATATTTGGTAGGGATTATCTTCCCAAGATATCTTGAGGTAGATATTTGTCCGGTGCGTCTTCACCAGCCCAAAGACTCGCACTATGCGCCAACGCTTAGTAAAATATCTCGAGCTAATTTCTCAAGGTCGAGTTTCAAGTTTCGAGGTCGAATCTCGAGCTGATGAAGACGCGATTTGTAACTTTGGGATTATTTCCCAAATTCCCAGATCCGACAGACATTTAGAGATGCTCAAGAAGTGGAGTAGACTGCCCAGCAATAGGATTGCTTTTGACCATCAAAACAATCTCAACTGCCATAGGTTTACACACAAAGACAAGTCTATCAAAAATGATTATCCTCCCACTAGGATCTCTTTGAATGGCTGTGAAGTGGGATACATATCAAATTAGAAGACAAAGGGTGTGTTTATCTTGTCTTGCCACTATGTACATATCGAACCCCACTGTACGAACGTGATTTGCGGGATTTTTACGTTTATCATCTCTTCAGTCTTCACGATTAAAAATAAAGGCCTTGTCTCTGCGCAGCTGCCTTGCGCCGTTTGACCCGGGAAGCAGACAGTTTCTTGGAGGTCAACTAGAGCAAGCATACCGGTACATACATGTACATGCTTGTACAACCACATGACACAGCACATGGCGCGCTCTATTTCCCTGAACCGAAAATTAGCCTTGGAAGGTCTGATTTGTATGTGGGGTTCAAAACAGCTTTATGTTTATCATCTCTCAGAAACGTGATTCTGGCTGTATGTCACATTCAAAACACACCCTTTTTGGCGTTACAATATGCCCATATCTAAAGACGTTTGAAAAAGGCTTTGCGTTTATCACCTTAAAAAATTGCCTGAAAGACGTTTGAGAAACCTGAATCTAGGCAAAAAGTTGGTCAATAAACGCATCCATAGACTACCATAACTTTAACTTGAAAAGCTAAGGAGACCTCAAATAAATTGACAGAAATATGAATGCTTTTGGCCTTTGAAAAATCTCAAACACCATATATACCTGTACATGTGGGTAAACATGCAAAGACAAGTCTTTTTAAAATGATTATAGAATAGCTTTGAAAGAATATGAAATGGGATTTATATGAAACTTTAAAATAAAGGACGACCATGGCCTAAGTATTTTGCCTTTCTTTCTTTAACCATTCCTACCAGGGTATTTTGCTCAATGTTTGCTGTGTTTTTAAAGTATCTGAATAAATTAATCTTGACTCTATTCATACCTGGCATCGGGGTACCCGTTGCATTCACTTCACTGTACATGGTTGATTAAAGTCTTCCAGGCGTCTCAGAGAGGAACACAGAGATCTTCAGAATCAGGTGCGCTTAGGCCAGGAACTGGTTGTGGGACAGACTTTAGACAAGGTTCAATGCACTTCTCTCCCGTAGAGATACTGTTGAGAACAGAAGAGACAATATTAATCAAGCTACGCATTTCCACAACAAGCAGGTTGCACTGAAGGATCACAAACTGTATCTTCATCAAATATTGACGGTGATAAACTTTATCAAGTTTACATTTCAGTTCGACAGTGGATTTCCTTGTACCCAGTAGGGGCTAGGGGCGCTGGTCTGAGAATAAGGATCGTCTTCATAAACGAGGATCGTCTTCTTTAACACTGACCGATGCGTCCTCAAAAATAAGGACCGTCTGCATTTTTGCAGACGTTTAATATTTTTGATCGGCGCATTGGCGATGCAAAAAACGGATTCTGCAATGATTTTCTTGATGCAATTTACATTGACTTTGTACAGAGGCCTTCACATTATGAGCAATAAATCCTTGGGAAGACGGACAACCCATTTTTGGCATCGCCAGCGGGCCGTTCTGTAACATGCAACCCCCAGAGCACCGATGAAAAAAAACGTCCTCGAAAATGCAGACGACCCTTATTTTTGAGGACACATTTTGTCTTCGTTTATGAGGACGATCCTTGTTTATGAGGACGATCCTCATTCTCGGACCAGCGCCCCTACTGGTACCTGTATTTGTAGAATGCTTTGATCGATTCCTCATTTATCGTCCTGATTTTTCTAAATTAATTGAGGATGGGGTTCCATGCATATTTTGTTATTCAAAATTCAATATTTTCTGAGATGGCTGCTGCGCAAACAAATGCTACATGTACAGTGTAGTAGCTAGGCAGGACTCTGTGCCAACTTACATTTCTATGGAGTAACTAGGGTAGGGCCAGGGTCTAGACACCAAATCTGGTTTTAGGGGAGATCTACAGCAAATTGTTTGGGGTAGACCTAGGCCTATAAATAATTTAAAGACAAATTAAAAGTTCATTTAATAAAACAATTTTGAATAGTCTAGAGTATTGACGATGATAAAGTGATAGAGTTTACTACACATGATTCACTCCAGATCCAGGAAAGCAATGGTTTGTCTGTTTCTTCTGCTTCTAATGAAAATAAGTTTGTTTTTTTTTTGGAGTGGAGTGTGAACTTGTACTTTAACTTTAGTTTAACTTTTAAGTTTAACTAGATCTAGGCTAAGGCCAGGGGCAGGGCCGCGGCCAGGCCGCCCAGAGCCCCAGACATTGCCATGCCAAACTAAATGGCATATATGCCTCGTCTAGATTCTGTTCATGGTAAATAAACTCGAAGCCTCCATAGAAATCAAGAGTACTATTAGATTTGAGTAACTGAAGCAAAAACAAATGGGCGGTATAGTTACGTACATGGTGCAGCGAGCGATCGGAGGGCTATCAGCTGCCCGACCCTGCCCACGTGGTTCGATGCTTCGTTAGGCTGCGCTGGTGCTCTGCTACGCGTATACCGGTACGGCGGCTATTATTAGAGGCACACACTGACACGTCACTACGCCGGCGATACCGGCATAAAACCGCAGAGAATGAACGACAACGTGGCAGTATTAGATGCAAACACAAACTAGCTACCACACTCATATAGTTTCACCGACTGATTTTAAAAAGTGCCGGGTAGTATTCGGGTTTCCTGCAGAAATAGATGCGCCAGTGTCACTTGTTGTTGAGTCTAATGATCAAATGCAAATCATATTTTGCGGACGATAGCAGCTCCGATGATAGCGACGTGATTTAATTAATGCGATCAGAAACGTAAACACGTTAGCTGCGCTCACGATCACGTACCGGTAAATATTGCGTCACCCTAAAGGTACGGTACTCATATTTTGCACTTTTCCGTTGCCGTTTTAAAATATGGAGAAAATGAATTAATGATTTAGCACCATAAATTTATATAAAGTAATAAAACAAACACAAATTAAAATTTGTATTTAAAAATTTTTTTTTTTACAAAACTTGATTATGAATATATGAGTTTAGGCAGTTTCTTTTCAACGTTAAAAAAACCATTTATGTTGTAAATTGGCAATTCACATTGGCGCTCAATTCGTCATAATTTTTGTAGCTTGGTAATATCCATAGAGATATAAGGTGTCAGTAGTATATATCTCTATGGTAATATCACAGACAAGCCATGCACTGATCTAGTCTGTATGGAAAACACACACCAGACAGTATAGTCCCAGGTATTATGTTTTATATAATCTCGCAGCCCAAAGGCTGAATTGTATGACTTTTTACAATTTGAGAAACAACATTACAATACAATAAAGTAAAATCAAACATCACAAGATATAAATGTTAAATTCGTTCATTTAAGTTTATATTTAAAAATATAAAATAGGGTCTATATATAGCCTACATGTTAACCTATGCAATAATATTTCCTCTCAGATGATTCATTTATTTGTAACGGGTCGTGTAGACTCGTGTTTGTTTGTAACCAGAGCAGGCTATTAAAATAGTTGCAATAGATTGTAAAATTTAATATTTGCGTGATTTTAACAGATTGAAAAGATCAGTAAAATACAGTGATACATAGGAGAATTACTACTATCAAATTGACAGAAAATAAGTTCAGATTTACAATAGCAAAATGTATTGATAAACTTGATTTTCATGGGTTTTAAACGCGGAATGCATACAGGGGCGGATCCAGGGGCACAGGGGTCACATGCCCCCCCCCCCCGGCCCCCGCCCCCCCCAGCTATCCGTTTAGTTGCACTTCAATAGCTGCTATTGAATTGCAATTAAACGGATGTCTGGAGACTGTGGATCGGGAGCTAGCGGATGGGGGGGGGGGGGCTGACGGGAAATATTATTCATTATGAGACATTTTAATTTATGTTAATTGTAGGCAATATGAAATTGAGGGGCACATGCATATTATAAATAATTGTCCATATTTATGTACATCGTTTTCTATTGTTAAAGATACTATGTCCCTTTTGCAGCCAACCTCAAATTCATTAGAACTTTGCTTGAATTATCAATATGTCATGTAATATCCTATCTGCGAAATTTAAATGTTAGTAGTGTCCTAATATTCAAATTATGCAAGGAAACCTGTTTACTTGCTACTTCACCGTCGGACACTACTGAGTGATTGACTGGCTTTTTTCTTCTTTGGTAATAACATAGACAGAATCCGAACTGCATACATTAGTTGTTGCCAGGTTGGACAAACATGATGGCTTGACCTACCTAGCAACACTTAATATTTGCAGTTTGCATTCTGACTATTGAAATACTATTATTCTTATCAGGTGAATGAAATAATTTGTATTGAGGCACTTTACAAAGACTTACGCATTAAATTTGGTTACATTACGAAAATGGTCTATTGCCAGAACGCAAATTGCGTAAATAGGTTGGTGTTGTTCTGGGGTGAAGGGTTCGTATAACTGAAATAGATTTTTCAACCGCTACATTTTAGTACTTTTAAATAACTGATTAACAATTATTGTTACCCTATTATATATTTTTCACCAAATGTAATATTTACCTTGTTGGCTATGATTTTCCCTCATTGAAAAAAAGGTTAATTATTGAATTAAAATTGAATTAAAGATTGGTGCATGATACTTGTACAACTCTGGCTGGCTGGTACGTCACATTTTTCAAAAAATGGCTGCGCCCATGTCATGCTAAGAGGCAGTACATCATGCCAAGAAATCTTCATTAATCTCTTGTCGAACACATTCGTTAGATTTATTGTACTAGCTGTCTTGTTGTATTGTCCCAACACCCAGTTAATTAAAGAGTACCTTCATATTCATACCCTAACAGGATGCCCAGTTTGAGATGCACTTATAAGCCAAGTTTATATCTTCATAATCCTTCACCGAAGAAAGGCCAAGTGTATTCATAATCCACTTCACAGGAAAATTAAGACCACTTGTATTATGTTTAAAATCAAAACTATCAAGTAGTTCATTGTGCTGGCGGGCCCAGTTATTCCTTTGTTTTGGCGGGCCTTCAATAATGTCTATGTCCCTTTGACACAATTTAAACTACCCTCATATATTACTTGTATCCTTCATTGATTTAATTAATACCCAGGTAGGGATTATTTAAATTGAATATTCAAATACGGATTGTTGAAAAAAAAAGAGGAATGTCCAAGATGTCGGCTACTTATTCTTCAGGTAAATGGTAACTGAAATGTGGGGTAAAGGTTTTTATTCAAAGTCACAGATGAATAAAACAACACTTTGTAACATGGAAATTACAACATGTACCATCACCCCATCCTAGCTGACTATCATGAACACACCACTGAATACCAGGGAAAGTTACAACGCTACAATAAAAAAATGCAATTCCTGTTCCCTTATGCATAAAAGTTTGGTTTAATAAACCATGAAATTCACTCAGCAAATCATGAATGTATCATATCACCCTCAATTTTGTAAGCTCCAAAGGATTTACCTCTCAAAAATCAGCGGGAAGGCTAATTTCTGCGCAACCTAATTTCAATACCCTTTACAAAAGTGAGCAGTGCTCACCCAAGCATGAATTATTTTCGGACTTTTTGGTGTCATATGAAAATTGAGTTTATGAGCTTTTTATGCATATACGACTGTTCCCCCAGAATCATATATTCCTTATTCGGCAGCCATTTCAAAAGTATGTAGTTCTTTTTGGGGACGCACTGTATAGAGGGCGCAAGTACCAACAAATAATGCAGTGGGGCTTAATACAATATAAATAAAAAGTAATAGCTTTTGATACATGTATGAAATCACAGTAGATCCCACTTTCACAATGATTTCTTATTCCATTTTCTTTAAAATAGACAAAGTATACTTCTGTTATTGTGAGAAAAATACATCAAGCATTCATGCAGTCGTTAAGAAAAGAAAAGAACCTAAACTCGTAACAGAAATTACTAATTTTTAAACGGAAAAAACAAGACAAAAGATGTATGGTTCCCTTCCCCTTATGCACAGATCCACACACACATTTCGATTTGAACATATAGCCTTCAACAACACGCTGGTGGATAAAACTGTCTCGAAATTGCAATAATATGACCTCGGAGCACGTGTTTCGTTTATATTTTATTCAAACTTTTATTCATCGTCAATTATATCATTCTTTGCATCTCTATTTGTTTAACTTTCTTGTCTGTGTATTTACTACAGCTAGATTTCGTAATGTTTGATAGATTGAGTAGATATCGAAGCCTGTCGTTCGTAACCGACAAGTCACCACATTCATGGAAGATTGAACGAATGAATCAATGTCAAAGATTTGAATTATCATCGCTCCATAATAAAATATTTCACATTTTAACATACCTGCATTCGCAGTCATCACGAATGAACATTTAATTGGTATCTTACATATTCGTTTTGATCAATTACCTCCCGATTTATTTCTCCCTGTTTGATACTGATAAAATGTTAAATTTGTCTCTAGTAATCAAAGCCCAATATTATATTCATATTTTCTTTATGGAAGAGAGAGATGGGGAGAATACATTAATTAACAACACTCGTGTACAACCACGATTTCCATCCTTTTCATTAAGATCCAATTACCTGCCAATATTCAGTTTCTGAATATGGTAAATCCACTTAAAGAGTAGGCATATCAAAAATTTTCTTGGTTTAAGAGTGGTCTCTTAACAAGTTAAAACCCCCCTAATAGCCATTCCGAAAAGACCGCTCCTTCGCGAGCTGCTAATGACGTCTAAATTAACCTCTCCTGTGCCGGCATTTACAGGATCTAAACCTTGTAAGAGGCCCGGATGTCATATATATTTTTATGTTATTTCCTGTACCAGTATGATTTAGGGACGCAATGCTGTTTAATCACTGGTAGCTTCACTTGCACTACTGTACCTATGATCACAGGCGGCCCTCCGGGGGGGGGGGCAGGGGGTACAGTGCCCCCACCTTTTCAAGCACCCGAAAAGTGCGCCTTTAACTTTGTAAGAAGTGCCCCTTTTCACATAGGAATAGCGCCCCTTTTACTTTGACAAGTGCCCCTATTAATTTGTAAAAGTGCCTCTTCCCCTTTTAAACTCTGATATTACGTGTCCCTTTTATATAGACACGTGCCTCTTTTCCTTCGAAAAGTTCCCTTTCCCCTTTGCAATAAGTGTCCATTTTCCTTTCAAATAAGTTCTCCATTTCCTAATGATAAGTGCCTCATTAAAAAAGAGCCCCTTCCCCTTCTCATAAGTGCCCCTTCTCTGGTAAATGATCTTTTCAGGAAGTTACTTCTTTTCGTTTCAGATTAGTGCCCCCTTAACCTCCGATAAATGCCCCTTTAAAATCTGATCGGTCCCCATTTACTTTAAACTAATGCACATTCTCCTTTATTATAAGTGCCCCTTTTCATATCGGGTCATTGACCCTTTTCAGGTGCAATAAGTGCCTCTTTTCACCTCTGATAATTTCCCTTTTAACAATGAAACGTGCCCCTTTTCCTTTCTAATAAGGGGCCTATCCCCTTTTCATAAATGCCCCCTTTCATCTCCTATAAATGCCACTATCAAAATCTGATGGGGCCCCCTTTCCGTCGACAAATGCCTATTGCCTATTACTGACTTTTTTCATCCTTGGTGAGTGCCTCTAATAATTGCTCTATGAACTTCGACACATGCTCCTTTTCTGTTCTGATAAGTGTCCCCCCCTTTCCTCTCATCATTAAACGCGCCCCAAATTTCAAGCGACTAAGAGCAATTTCTCCTAAAGATCTATAGATGATAATACTTATGTTACTTATTAAGATATGACGAGTATTTATTTTAGTGATAAATCAAGTTTTATACAAACG